ATTTCTCCGCACAAGAATGCAACCCTGTACCCTGTGATATTCCAGAACAGATTTCTAAACTGATTTCCAGACAGAAATCAAGAAAGGTCTGTCATCAGGTTCCCATCAAGTTACAAAAGAAACCAAGAATGGAACCGGCCAATGAAGATGGAGAGTTGCTGGGAATAAAGAAGTTTGGTGAAAATACGGATAGATAGTCCTACTGTTCACCACTTCGCTTCCTCCCCCCCCCCCCCCCCCCCCCCCCCCCAGTTGTAGCAAATATTTTAGCAATCCCTTTATTTGTAAACCTGAATAGACATATTATGTTGTACATTGTATGTAAATCTAAATGTGCTAAACAGCTACACAAAACTTGTATTGAGATTAACCTAACCTAGCTATGTCTGTGAATAACTATATCAAACCTGTATTGTTCTTAGCTATACAACATCGTAAAACTTGTAATTACTTTGATTAAATTAACTTGTCAGATAGAACACAAAATACATTTAGTCGGAATTAGACTTTGCTTGATTACAGTGTGAGATAATTGTTTCTTTGCAAACAAGAAACATTCTGAATCACTCTTGTGAAGGATAGAACTAGATTGGGAATTCATCCAGATAAAGTCATGTCCGGATTGACATTGATAGTAAAGTATTGTGGAACTGACTAGTTCTTATGCTTCGTCGATCATAGAGACAAGGATTGAGTATTGAAACAGATAAAGTCGTGTCCGGATTGTCATTGAGTTGTACCAGGATTGATACTGGTATAAAAGGATTTATTGGAGTAGGGCATTTACTACATAATATTGGTATGATTACTTTTCAAATAATTTTTCCCGAAAATATCATCTTATTCTTTGAAAAATTCTTTGAAAAAATTCTTTGAAAAAACAATCGTATTTAAGAATCCCCCCCCCCCCCCCTCGCCCATACTCAAATCCCTACCCCCCTAATTGTATCTAGGAAACCACTCCCCTCCATAAGATATATAATATCTGGTGTAAGTGCAGTAGGTGTATATTGTATACTGTAGAAGATAAAAAGATATTAAGATTATTTTCTGTATTTTCTGTGAATCTCAATGTACAATCCTGCAAGGACAAACAAATTTTCACATTTTATAATTTATTGAGATAAGAATATAAAAGGTATTTTAACAAGTACTAGCTGAAGTGCCCAGCGTTGCCCGCGGAACAAAAATCGAATTTTGAAGAAATAAAAATGTACTCATGTGATTCCTAAAAAAGTCCAACCTCTATATTGTTGATTACATGTATATACGATAAATTTTTCATTCATGACCACGCCACAAATTATGAATAAAAATGCTTTACTCATACTGCCTGGTTTCCGCCGGAATTTTTTTCATTTATTGCAGAATAGGGCAGGCAGGAACCAAAGAGTGTCAAATTAAAGAATAAAAGGGGGTAATGGACAACCCCCCCCCCATGTAACTATAAAAGAAATGTATTCTATCTGTTCCATCGATTTCCCCTGAATTTCCCATGGCTGGCTATTGTTCAGTTTCTCAGGCTGGAGAATAGATCAGATATCTTTTATTCAGCATCAACTCCTTTCAGGCGTATGAGAGTAGAGATGGGTGCGTTTATTTCATTTCGTTTGTTTATTGTTCGTGAATTAACCGGCCATTTTTTTAATCGTTAATAAAATTGATAGCGTTTGTTCTAAAAATTATCGTTCATTTTCCATCTATTTCGTTCGTTTTCTTACCGAACGATCGTTTAGTTATATCGTTCCTTCAGTAAACTTGTTTGATCGGTAAAAACATTCGTTAAATAAAAAAGATTCAAAATTGTTCAAACGAACTCAAAAAACTATTATTTTTGTAGAATTGTGTTAAAAAAATTGCTCGTTCAGTAAATGAACGTTAGTTTTTTCAGGTTGAAAAATTTTAAATCGAGTTTTCATTTCTCTGAACGTTCAAAGTAGTCCGTTGTTAGTTTTTTTCCTGAACGACACCTTCGTTCACAAAAAATGTCATTCTTTCTAATATAACAAAAATCTCTGCAGTTTCAGCACACACCTTTTAGCACGGAATATCAAGCTTAGATGTTAGTTCCTAACTTTCTCTCCCATACTTTTTAATATTTCATTCAAAGCACTTTTTGCACATTTTAAGTTCAGGTCTTGAGTTTAAAAATTAATATTGTCAATTTTATTTTTTCGTTAATCAATCGTTCAATATTTAATTTTAATATTATCAAAGTGGCACTCATGACATTAACTTTATATTGTCAGAATAACTATTTATAACACTGTTATTTTGGTTCGCAGTGTTATAAAGTTTTTGGACAGAAATTTTCTCTTTCTCGAGAAGGTTCAAGTCTTTTTAGATTTAATTTTGTCCCGAGCTTTAGCGAGGGACAAATTATAATCTATAAAGGCGTCGTGTCAAAATAATAGTGTTAACGGTAATTTTGATAAACGTTTTTGTACTGTCTTATTTCAATGGTTATGTCTAGATTAAAAAAGCTTTAAAACAAAGCAGAAGTCAAAATATAAAGTTGAATTCAATTTTATTTTCATTTCAATCGAAAAAAATATTTTGGAAATATCCTAATTTTTTTGGAGAAAATCCGAGAACCAATCAAAACTTTATAGCACACGTGCTATAATGTACAGTTAAATTAACATTATAGCACGATGATTACTTTATAGCACGTTCATTATGAAATTCACGACGAAGTAAGTAATAATGATAAATAACACTATAGTTTCATCAAATCTTTAATTATATCTTTTCTGTTGGAATATACATTTATTATTGAAGACGCTAAAAACAGTCCGCTTCTATTAAGCTATTTTGACGTTTTAAGACACCAAACACCAAATTGATCTGAAATGGCTCTATTTTTGTGTCTTCCATTTGTTTGTTTTGTAATTTTTTATATATATCTGTGTTTATCTACATTTTCTTCTAAAAAGAAATGATTTTGCTAAAAGTAGAAGAAAGATAGAATAAGTAATTAGTATAAAATTAACATTATTCCCCAGGGAAAACTGTATTTTCTTTTGTAAATAAAGATTTAATATTTTTAGCTAAATATATACACACGTACTGTACATTGTATTTTTCACATTTACACTTTTAGAATAATGATATTTTGTGTTTCTAGAATCCAGAGTTTAAATTTAATGTTTGCTTACAAGCATTATCTCAGGTTAAAGCAATATAAAAGATTGAATAAGTTTATTAATTTTTTAGTCTTTATAAAGTTTAAAACTTTACTGCTAAACTCAGCGGAATAATTCAAGGTAAATAAAATGATAAAAGTATACATATATTGTGGTTGGATACTTCTTTATCCTTCCTGATCCTTTCTGATCCTTTCTGACTCTTCCTGATCCTTCCTGATCCTTCCTGATCCTTCCTGATCCTTCCTGACCCTTCCTGATCCTTCCTGATCCTTCCTGATTCTTCCTGATCCTTCCTCATTGTGAAAATAAAGCACCGGAGGCTTAGTTGGGGTGTGGCTTGTTAGAGTTGAGGACCTACCCCCCCCATCCCCCCCACAACCACTCCCCGCCCTTTCAAACATTTTCTAGATAGAGATTAACGATCTTCTTTTTTAAACCCTTATTTTTTTTAACTTAACAAAAGACTCCATTAATTAAAAAACAGGATTAAAATCTTGAAAGGTAACTTAATATTACACAGGTTGGAGATGTTCAGATATTAATCCTACCTGAGCTGGAAACTTCAGAATTGTGGATTTCGAGATCAATGCTTGATCTCCTCTTTCTCTGTATGTCAAGTTCAATTTAATCATTAGTTTGTATCCAGGAATGTGTATCAAATTCAAAATGTTAATTGGAGAATTTCAACATCCAATCAGAAGCCGAGAAATAAATGTAACTACTCTCATTGGTTGCAATCCAGCAGATAAATCCAAAAGCATAAAATCAAAAGTGTCGACAGTGGATACAGAGATTTAGAAATCAGAGCTGGAAACTTTAGAATAGGATATCCTTAATCTCTATCGGAAAATTAATCTGGAGATTAATAAGAAGAGAAGAACAAGCAATATTTAATCTCAAAATCAAGAAAAAGATTGGATCAAGCATTAATCCCGATATTCACCGTTCAAAAGTTCCCAGCTCAGGATTAAGGGTATCCAATACAAAAGTTTTCTTCATTAGGTGAATTATCTTAAAGTAGATCAGATGATTAATATTGTTTACAAATCAGATTGAAAATATCAATACTTAATGATTGTTTATTGTGTATCTATAGTAGTATCAAAGAAAAGAATGAAGAAAGAGTTGAGTAGTATATAATATTGTTTCTTCCCTAGATTTATCCTTCCATTAAACATATTACAAATATATGAAGGAGCTTTCACCCAAATTAAAAATTTGTAAGTAAAGGAATTGAGTCTTGGCAACAAACTCTAATTTTCTAATCCCTAAGTCTTTGCACCTTAGGATATTTCAAACTTTGAATTCTGTTGGATCAAATAATCTAAGTTTAAAATATCAAAGCTTTAAATCATCAGGTTCCAAAAGATATAGGAATTACAAAATTGTAGTTTGTGGCAAAGACTCAATTTCTTTCATGTCCGATTCACAATGGTTCCCTTTCTACCTGAAAATACACCAAAAATATCAATGGTGCATGGTATTTGTTTTATCTATATAATTGATGATTATCAATTTCGGGTATTTTAGAAAAGTGACAATTGTGGATTAATGTAACAGAAGAAAATAAACGGAAATTTTAAAAAATCTGAATCTTTTAAATTTTAAAAAACGTCGACAGTCCCTTGAAAAATAGACTAATTTTTACACCATTTGGTTGCAAATAAGGGTTTCGAAATTTTCGCGAAACGATTTTCCCTCTTCGCCTAAACCCTAAATGCAAAGATATAGGGATTTGTAAATTTGAGTTTGTGGAAAAACCCAGTTTTCATATTATAATCTGTCAGTAGATGTATAGCTGAGACCAGATTCAATAGCGAGAAGTAGTTGAACTAAGTAGACGAAGTTGAATCACTTCTGTTTTTACGGTTTTAAACAGTTGATATTTTTTATATTAAATTATAAGGCAAGTACGTGTTCTTCAAAGTTTAAATAACTATTAAAAAATAATTCTACATGATGCTGATTACTTCTTAGGACCGAAAGCTCAAAGCAACTTAGCAAGTGCGTTAAAGCTATAAGTTCTAAAATTTACTAAATTATAACTATTGTAAAACAAAATAGGTATTTATTTTGTATCTTTCTAACGACCTTAAAAGCTTTATTAAAAATTTCCCAGCGCCTGACCTATTGAAGTAAAGAGCCAAAATGTTCAAAAATTAATAGGACGTAAAAGTTGGACACACTTTTAAATTTTCTTTTGCAATGACACTTTCATTTTTCTTATATTTTTGCACAAAACATACAGTATGGGCAAATTGCATTCAGGATCTAGGAATTTTTTTTAAATGAAAAAAAACTTTTAATCCCAATAATTGGACATTTTTGAGTTTCTTAAAAAGATTGAGGAAATATTAAACTGATTGTCAAAAATAAAAGCGCTATCAGTAAAACACTAAANTATCATTAATATTTGTATAATAAGAAGAGTCTGTATGGGTTTTGTTAATATTCTATTTCTAGATAAAATATCTGAATATTTTCAATACATCATCAATACGGAAACCAGCTCTTTCATTACATTCCACAGAAGAGAGAGACAGGGATCTACTTTCTTTACATCTCATAGTTTGTCCACGATATATCTAGTTTCTACAGGGTTTTATAGTTTGCCCCGATATATCTAGTTTTACAGGGTTTCATAGTTTTCCCCCAATAAATATCTAGTTTCTACAGGCGTTCATAGTTTGTCTACGATATATCTATTTTCTACAGGGTTTAATAGTTTGCCCCGATATATCTATAGTTTCTACAGGGTTTAATAGCTTGCCCCGATATATCTAGTTTCTACAGGGTTTCATAGTTTGTCCACGATATATCTAGTTTCTACAGGGTTTCATAGTTTGCCCCGATATATCTAGTTTCTACAGGGTTTCATAGTTTTCCCCGATATATCTAGTTTCTACAGGGTTTAATAGTTTGCCCCGATATATCTAGTTTCTACATGGTTTTATAATTTGTCCACGATCCATCTAGTTTCTACAGGGTTTCATAGTTTGTCCACGATATATCTAGTTTCTACAGGGTTTTATAGCTTGCCCCGATATATCTAGTTTCTACAGGGTTTCATAGTTTGCCACGATATATCTAGTTTCTACAGGGTTTCATAGTTTGCCCCGATATATCTAGTTTCTACAGGGTTTCACAGTTTACCCCAATATATCTAGTTTCTACAGGGTTTCACAGTTTACCCCAATATATCTAGTTTCTACAGGGTTTCATAGTTTACCCCGATATAATTTTCAAAGTAGTTTTTAATATCAAGTAAAAAAGTTATTTAAGAATAGAGGGATACACAGACACATGGATATAGGGAGGGATACATGGATACAAGGAGACAGGGGTATATAATGCAGGGATATTGGCATTAAATTACAGGATCACAGGAATACAGCTAGATGCAGGAATACAGGAATACAGGAATTCAGGAAAACAGGAATATAAGAATACAGGAATACAGGAATACAGAAATACAGAAATACAGGAATACAGGAATACAGAAATATAGGAATACAGAAATACAGGATTTTAAGGAATGCAGGAATACAAAAATACAAAAGTAAAAGAATTCAAGAATACAATAATAGACTAGATACCGGATTTTTACGTTCCATAGTTTACAGACAAGTGTAATCCAGAATTGTTTGTCTTGTTAAAAAGTTAAATGAATTTTAAAGTACACGAAGAACCGAAGTTTTAATATCAAAATCTCTAAGAAAATTTGCTTTAGAAAAGTTGCGGTACCATGCAACGAAATAATGTATATGGGTTTTATGCAAAATCAAAATTTGTTTGTTCTTCTAACAAATTAAGTTCTCTTCTATAAACTTGTTTTTAAAGTTTCTAAACAATAAGAGTTTTAGAAACAAACAATCCAAGAGCATTTTATTATTTAGTTTTTTTAACTCTCTTCGCCTCCTACGAGCAATGGTTCAGAAAAAAAACACCATTTTTTAAATCATTTTACATTGTATGGAAAGTTAAGGAAAATTCAAAGTAAGAAGTAAAAAGTAAGACCTTTTCATTACGATAAAAATATTTCAATTTTACAAAATTCATAATTTCATGTTATATTATATTTTAAAGTGCTATTTTACCATGAATATTAAAATTTTGACTTTAGGAGATAAGAACAATTCAAGGAGAAAGGGATTTAATAAACTATTTTATCTAGTGATCATGTTGTCTAGGAGAAGTCTCTAATTTATATAGTTTCTGTTGTCTAGGAAAAGTGTCTAGTTATTATAGTTTCTGTTGTCTAGGAATGTAGAAAATGCCCTACTCCATAAGGATTTCTCTATCCAGGTACAAATCAGTTTCACTTTACTATCAATGTCATAACCCAGACATTAGCTCGTGAACAATCAATGCCAAACCAATGGGCACGATCTCGTCAGCTATCGATGTCAACACGGACACTAGCTTGTAAACTATCAGTGCCAATGTAATAGTCACGATCTTGTCAGCTATCGATGTCAACACGGAAAAGTGTCTAGTTTTTATAATTTCTTTTGACTAGGTAAAGAGTCTAAATTTTATAGTTTCTTTTGACTACAAAAAATGTTTAGTTTATATAGTTTCTGTTGTCTAAGGAAAGTGAGTTTATATAGTTTCTGTTGTCTAAGGAAAGTGAGTTTATATAGTTTCTGTTATCTAAGGAAAGTGAGTTTGTTTAGTTACTGTTGTCTAAGGAAAGTGAGTTTATATAGTTTCTGTTGTCTAAGGAAAGTGAGTTTATATAGTTTCTGTTGTCTATTTTATTTACAGTGAAATTCTAAATACCCTAGCATTATGTTAATTGATTGAAGACTTCAAAGTCGTCTTTAACCTTAGAAATAGTTTGTGGCATTCAACGTTGGTAACCTGATTTTAACAATATTTTTGTATGAAACAAAAATCTCAGGATAGCCCAAGCACTATGTGCTGCTATCATAATTACCAGAATAGGAATGATTTGGTTCAGAATGTTACACTTTCATGTTTTTTTTCCAAATTGAAATTTAAACACAAATCTTGATTATTATTTATAAAAAAATATTGTTAAAATCAGGTAAACAATAGTAAACGCCGCAAGCGAATTGTAAAGTCAAAGACGACTTTGCAGTCATCAATCAATTAATATTGTTTAGAATATCACTGTAGTTTTCTGTTGTCTGCGACAAATGTCTAGTTCAAGTAGTTTTCTATAAAGTTAGAGTTTATTCCAAGTTTTGTATCCAATACTAAACTTGAGAATAAACATTCAATGATTCTTTCTTTTCTAGAGAAAACCAGAGATGCAGGGGATACAGACAGGGGGATACAGGGGGATACAGGGGATACAGGGCCGGGAAAGATATTTAAAAATATGAATTATGTTAGGTTTAATAATCTAAATTTAAAATATAAAAGGTTTACAATAGATATGTTTTAATATGCTTTGATATTTGTTGTGTACATGTCAGAAAATTACTTTAAACTCTAGTTCTCGAATTGATGTATAAACTATTTTGCATAAGATAAAATCGCACCCTGATCACTAACAGTTCGTATTAAATCTATTTAATTTAAATGTGTTGTTATCATTATTGAAATTAGGTGGAAAAAATAATCAAAACAGCCAAGAGCTATTTTCCATCTAATTGCTTTATACTCGTACTGTTAATATAATCATCAATTTGTAATTGTAAACTCGTTCTGTACACAGATACATGTATTTTAGCAATAAACCTTATCTTATCTTATCTTATCTGTTTGTAAAGATAAAGGGATTACAAAATTTGAGTTTTTGACAGCTTCTTTAGGTTCATCATGAGGTTTGTTTAATTGCTGAGTGTTGATTGATTCATTGTACTATACTGTCATGATCAAAAAGAAGAGGTATAACACTAGAAAATGGAAACAGCTAGTAAACATCCTGAGCAGGGAATTCTTTAATTGTGGATGTCTCGAGATCCGAGATTAAGCATTACTACATGTCAATTTAATATGTATGTAGCATTTTCTGTTGTAATGATTAGTACATCTTTATTATCCATGTTGACCCTGACCGGCCAATCCGGTCATTTTGATTTACCTGTATATAAATAAATTAGTACTACATGAAACGTTGTGTTATACGGACGTATACATAGCCTTGAGTTTTGGCTAGAGATAGAGTCAGTGAGACTATAACTAGACTTTGAGTAGAGAAATCTCGGAACCTAGATTTATTACATATTTTCAATATCCCGTGAAGAGTTTCGTTTGTGGAAAACGAGTTCAGCCAGTCAGGAGCCAGATTTTGCGTTCAACCATGTTGGAAAACAGACAAAATCAAGAGATTAAGCAGGTTCTTCGTATAATTCAAAGTGCCCATAGTGGATATAGAGATCAAGCTAACGGTAATATGGGTATCTAACATTTCACAGCTTTAAACCATAGTAAACTAGATAAGCAGACAAATACTTTGAAATAACTAAATTTTCTGCGACATTTTTAATTTAATCAAATTGAAAAAGTAGCATTTAGTTATAATGTTTTTATGTTTATGAAAGTTTAAACTTTTGTTTGAATAAAAGATTTTTTGTTGGATTTGTTTACTGCAAACTGAAGCTGACATACTTACTTAAAAATTTATCTTAAGAAATTGAGTCTGTGTGACAAACTCAATTTTACTTGTCCCAATATCTTTGCAACTTGATGTTATCAACTTTTGATATTTCAACCTTAAATTTCTATTGGCAAAGAATCAATTCCTTTCCTGTCAAAGTTAAATTAGGAGAATACTGAATACAAGAATCTAAGGCAAGGAAAGTTTATTGCGGTCGTGTATACTCTGCGTACACATATTGAAACCAGTTCTCTTTAGGCGGAATTTGTAAACAAGAATAAATGCATCAGTGTTCGTTTAGTATCCGAGGAGGTTAAAAGCATTAAATTTTGAAAATTTTGATAATTCACACAATTGTTTCCTATGACCAGAATATTTCATCGATTTTTTATGTGAAAGATGGATCCCATTTCAGGCTTCGACATCTGTCTTGTGTTTACATTACCGCCCAGAGACAGTACACTGCAGTACAAAAGATGTGTACACTTCTTAAATAACTTTCCTTGCCTTACAATCCTTGACTGAATATAAGTTAGCTTGTGCTGCAGTAAGTTTAAATATTTCAAGTTTTAAATCTAAAAGATAAGAAATAAAATTAAACTTTATCTTTATTTAACTTTGCTTAATGTACATTTTACAATCATCATATGGTTTAAAACATAGATTAATTAACAATAACAGATAGAACACTAGATGTCGTCTTTTCAAGATTTGAGGTTTTTTCTTTCACAATAACCCCAAGGCAGAAGCCAAAAGAGTTATGTGCATGCTACATTGAATGACAAGACAGAGAGAGAGCATACGCGTAATTCCTTTGGGCTTTTGCCTCAGGTTTATTGTGAATGAAAAACCCTGAAATCTTGAAAAGACGACATTTAGTGTTCTATCTGTATTGGTAAATTAATTAATCTATTAGAGATGGAAAAATAATTCTTAGTTTAACAAAGATCCTCTAATTAAATTCTTGTAAAAACTTTAAACTTAAACAGAAATTTAAACTCTAGAATAATTTTTCTTGAAATCTGTCTTTAACTTCGCTAATTTAACTTGAGAAAGGAAATAATTGGGAGAAATCTCTGTTTACACCACCAAGATTTAAAGTGTTACTTGTACACCTTCTGTTTTACTCACAAAGGAATTGAGTCTTTGCCACAAATTCAGTTTTTGTAAAACCTATATCTTTGCAACCTTATGATGTAAACATTCGATATTTCAAACTCACATTATTTGATCTAATAGCATTCATAGTTTGAAATATTAAAGGTCTACGAAAATCCGAGTTTGTGGCAAAAACTCAATTCCTTTGAAAATAGAAAATTCCTTCGGTTCCATACTTATAACTCACAACATTTGTTTTTCTTTTCAGTATGTTTTCATATCAATGACGACATAGAACTCTTAAAATCTACGATCCTATTTGAAATAAGTTTTAAAGTTATACCAAGACGTTTATATATTTGTGAAAAGAAATATAAATCAAGGTTTTAAACAGGTCATATTACGGAACAAATATGAAAACTAGGATTCTTAATAGATATAATTGATAATATAATTGTTACGTCTGTATCACGTGACCAGAATTTCCACCTATGGCAGTCCATTATCTGGTCACGTGGCGCCGTATGTATAACGTGACCAGAATTTCAACCTATGGCAGTCCATTATCTGGTCACGTGGCGCCGTATGTATAACGTGACAAGAATTTCCACCTATGGCAGTCCATTATCTGGTCACGTGGCGCCGTATGTATCACGTGACCAGAATTCCCCCTTTAATTTTACCTTAACTTTCCCTTTAATTTTACCTTAACTTTCCCTTTAAATTCAGTTTGGACTAGTGTGATGTCCTATTCAGTTTGGACTAGTGTGATGTCCTATTTTTAAAATATTTTTGGTTTATATTTTTCTTCAGCCTATTCTTATGATGAGGAGAAAATTTTTTTTTTAATTCTTTTTCTTTCAAAGAAATATGAAAAATCTACTGAATCATGTTGTTTTGAAGAGAATAATATTCATAGCTTGTTTTAACTTTAATTTAAATTTTCTGGAATAAAAAAT